TCCACAAGGCTCGAACCTTGACGGCATCAAGAGTATGTCACAGCTGGTAATTCCAGGTTCGGGGTCAATATGATGCACATATGTAGTAAAAGCCTAAACAATGAAACACAAAATCTTGAATTACCCTGCGGTTATTCTATGGGAAACTGGAACATTGAATCCAACCCAACCCCGGAATTTATCTTTGTAAGTTGCTTCTGTTGCTCTCATCCAATCTTCACACACTGGGTCCCCAGATCCCAGCATAACCTGAAACATATACATACCTTCTCAGTAAAAACTAAAAACGTTAATGTTGAAAGTTGGGAGCAAGCTACTTAAAATAACAATACCAAAATCAATGGAAAAGAGAAAAACTCACAAATTGCACGTCATCTTCCATAAGCTGTGGCATTCCTGACTGAATCAGGTCAATACCTTTCTGGTAGTCCAGTCGTCCAACGAATCCAATCTATAAATTTCAAAACTCGGATCAATATTAGGAGCGGAGTATAAATCGTAACTGAAGCTGAGCATAAGTAGACATTAATGTCTTATGTCTTACCAATGGGCAATCCGGCCTAAGGGGAAGACCTAACTCCTTTTGCAAAGCAAGCTTGCACTGAACCTGCAGCCGGCACACAAGAACGGTAAGAGAATTATAGTATAATAACACCATAACGCCCCATCTTAAAATGGTAGATTTAGCCACCTTTCCGGAAAGATCATCAGCAGAATAGTGGGAAGCAGTGTGTACATCAGTAGATGGGTTCCATTCAACCACATCGACCCCATTGGTGATTCCTGTCATATGGTATTATTCCATTAATTGAGGGTTATTCTCCTTGAGCATGGCACACGGTAAGCTAGACAATGAAATATGAAGTTCAAGTGACGTACCAGTAAGAACACTCTTTCTACTGCTTAGTAGCTCATTTAGACCATATCCACCTTCAACGGTTGTTATTTCCCAGGAGTAGCCCTACAATTCAAAGGCATAATTTAAACATGAGATATAAGAAGAATAGCACGATGAAATATATGGAGGCACATGTCTGTTTGGAAAGTTTTGAAAACGCTATAATCTTCATCATACAAGTGGCCTAAAGATTTTGCAATCATTATTATACGAACAAGATGCAATGAGGACGAAAAATCCGACAACAGGTCTTATTACTGATCACCATAAAAACGTTTGATGCTTCATTAAATGAGACACAACAAAGACTATATATGGAATACAACTGACCTCGCTGACTGTCAGAATCCGATCAGATGTCACAATTGCACCCTTCAGGATGTTCACTGCTTCACCTTTGTCAAGAGCATGGGCCCTTGCCCATGTTGGAAACACCCATTCCAGTGCTCCGTACCACTCTGCAGGTAGCCCCAAATTCTTGTATGTTACTCCTGGTTCCACTCCCTTGCATATCAAAAGACGACGTTTAATAAAGCTGATCGGATATATGACTAAAGATTGATAATAAAACAAACAAACAAAATGAAGGAAAGAAAAAGCATCAACCTGATGTGCAAGGTTATGAATTACAAGAATACTCCGTGCATCCTTATAAACTCCATATGGACGATACTTGGCAGCCAAAAGCCTGAAACAGAGGGACATGTAATGATCAGAAGTCCACTATCAGTATGTTTACCCGAAAAAACGAAAAGATAGAGCAATATAGGAAAGATTTAAAACAAAATAATATATAGCTAATTCATTTAATTAGTTGAAACTACTTACAATGGCACAAGGCCAGCATGCCAGTCATTGACGATGAACAGGCTTTTCTCCCCATAGGTGAACCCTCCCAATGGAAGCACTAATGGTGCTTCACATGCTGCATGGCAAAGTAAAGTGAACCGAAACTGTAAAACCAAATGAGAATAAAACGTATCATTATTTGTGAATAAAACAGGATACTACTTAAATGATATATCCATTACGTACAACTTTTCAGTTCAAAACTATACCTGATTGTCATCAAATGCACCCAAACTATCACCATATGGACTTCCAGGTCTGTGATAAGACGGATGGTCCACGAATACCTAATGACGATAGGAAAATAGGTCATCATTGGCAAAAATTCTATCAGTCGGGAGAAGGCCAAACTGTTTAAAAAGGGATAAACTAGAACACAAGAAGTATCCCCAATATCTTACCCAATCAACACCTGCCCTATATTCATGGTAGAAAGAAACTTCTTGCTCTGCACCAAAGCAGTAAACCTTGACGCGGGTTTCCAAATCAACAGCACCAGAATATTTCCGGTCTGCAGCAGTACCGTTTTGATATCTAGGAGAGACAACCATAACACGGTGTCCACGTGCTGCTAGAACAATAGGCAAAGAACCGCAAACATCTCCTAAGCCTCCTGTCTTCGAATAGGGCGCAGCTTCGGCACTAACAAACACAACATTGTACGTTACACTTGCTTTGGATATTTCTTTGCCATCTATTTCCACTGATTCTTCCCCTCTAACAGAACTTACATCTTCAGGCGAGTCGATGACATTGAGTTCACCTGCAGTAAAATATCAGATGGGCCCCACAACTAATTCACAAACAAAATTTAAAATATCTCAACATGCCGGGGTTTGGAAGTATTCCTCAAAATTTGCAGTATTACTCGATTCAACCAATGAAAATGCAGCATTCGATCACGAACGGAACACTGTACATGCTATGAGGTCCAGATATGGGGACCAGAGTGGAAAATATACAATCTGAGGTGGAGACCACAAGAAATGCAAGGACCTGGAGCCCTCACATGCAAATTGATGTGGACATCCAAAACCAAGGATGCCTCACAATTCACAAACAGGTGAAGACTCCATCAAGCACCACCATACACTCAATATAGCAAACTTTTGACACATCACAAATCTCTTATCGAACCAAACGCAATGATTTTCGGAAGAGACGTGGGTTAGATAGTTGGCCATGACAGTGTCCCTCCCCGTAAATCAAAGTTTAGAATATCGCTTTGCAAGACAAAAAAGCAATGAATTTTAGGAAACTGAATTGGGGCAAGCATCAATTAAAATCTAAACCACATTTACTCCATATTTACCAACCAATGCATCAAATAAAACATCTATCATCATTTCGAGGTTAGGATGTGTCTCCATCAGCATGCCACAAAATGTAATCACATTAAAATCTTTCTGGTAACAGCATTCAAATTTGTACTCAAATTTTCCAGTTTAAAAAACAAAAAGGATCAGAATTTCGACTGCAACAAAAGGGTTTTTTAATCCAAAAACAAATCAATCATTAAAAAAACTTCAAATGTCTCAAATAATCCACCAAACCAATCCAAAAACAATGAAACAGCAGGAGAATTTATAAATAAATAATCAAAACCAAGCCTGAGCATTTACCGTTGGGAGGAATCAAGTTAAACCCAATAACAGCGCCGGAACCATCTCTCTCGGCGCCCAAAAAAACACCCTTTCCGTCCTTCTGCTGGTCTTCCACCGCCGAAGCGCCGTCCTGCCCGCCACCGCCACTTCCGCCTGCAACCGACGCTCTCAGCCGCAGACAAGCGGCTCCCCTCCTTTTCCACAGAGGAGCAAAACCCAGTTGCCCGATCGCCTCGTGATTCGCGTATTTATTTGGAATCGGAATTAAAGACGACGATTTGCATGGGATCAAGCTAGTGAATTTCAGAGACCCCATCAAAGTCTGAGAGTTCTAGAGAGATAAAGGGAGGAGAGGAGAGAGTGTAGAGACTGGAGAGAGAGAGAGAGAGAGAGAGGACCCGAGTCCGATATAGGACGGAAGGAATCGAGATTTACGTTTGACGGAACAAAGAAGAAAAAAGCAGGAAGAAAAAGAAGGAAGTCACACACAAACAAGGAACCACGCACATCTGTTGGGTTGGGATCAGATATGTGCGATCCAGAAAAAGCGCCAAACCCAGAAACTGATTCCCAGTTCTAAACCACCAGAAATTTTTCATTCTTACCGTACGACTGTTTTATCACGTATTTTCGTAAAAGTGAGAGGAAATTTTATTTTTTAAAGCATTAACTTTTTAACAAATATATTTTACGAGTTGTAAAAAATTATACTTTAATAAGATGATGTCACGTGTTAGGAGATAAGAAATTAGTTTTTGTAGGATACGAAAGATTTTTCAGTATGATTATCACATGAAGTGGTAAATTACGTGTTTCCGTCACAATTAAAAATGTATAGTAAGTACGACGAGGTAAGATCGCGATTGGCGAAACGGCTTTTGATGTCGGCCAGTGACGTAAGTGATTGTGATTAAGAAGGTGGACGTGGCGTGGGCAGAAAGGAACACGTGTAAAGGAGTAAATTGGTGAGTAGAAGAATGAGAGACACATGATGCCAGAGGTAAAGTGAACCTAACTTGATGTCGGCCTGTAAGAACACTTGTTGAAGGCTCGAACAATTTTGTCCTTCTCTCAGGTCACATGAATTTATTTTGCGTGTGGAGGTAATGATTTTCACACTTTCGTCTTTTTTTTTTGGCACTTCTTTTATATGTTTTGCCGACGAGTTTTCTTTTAATTATCTTAATTAATTTAAGTTTTTTATTTAAAATGATCTATGAGATTGATATAACTTTTTACTTTGGTCTATAAGGTTTAAAATCGATATAAATGGTTCTTGAGATTGTCTATAGTTAATTATTTTGATCATCGGTGACAAATCTCGATTAAATTGAGGATATTTTGTCAAATCCACCCCTCATTTTGGACTGCTGGTTTCTTCAATTTAACGGAGATTTTTTTATAGAATGACCAAAATGTTTGACGATGAACAATTTCAAGAACCACTTCTATCGATTTTAAATCCCAAGAACATGAGGAGTTATGACAATCTCAAAGACAGTTTTGGCTAAACAGCCATTAAAACAAAAAAAATCCAATGTAGATCACCTATGGACATAGATTAAATAGCCTTTGAACCGTTAGCTAAGAATTCATCTATGAATTTCGGTTCATGCTATAGGCCAATCCATACTATACATCCATAGAAAAAGAATAAATTTGTATAAGATTTTCTCTCTTTTTTTTTCAAAAAAAATACATATCATGAGACACAGTGACATAATTTTATATAATATTTCACAATATATATATATATATATATAATTAATACAAAACCTCGTGGATCCATGGCCATAAAATAAATAATACGATGTTTGTTCATACATCATAAGCAAAAAATGTCTTGCAAATGGAAAATTTATGTCACACCAAATTAACTTGCACCTAACCGAAAGTATGTCTCCAACCATGAACACCAAGCGGCAGGTCCCAATCCTCACCATGGGGTGAATCAGGCCCAAAGCCCACAGCCCCCCTAGCATGCCCACGCGGACCATTACTTTTCGGGCCTGGGCTTCTTGGGCTACTCGGGATCAGGTAGTTTGCTGTACCTCCACCCGAGCTCGGCGAATAGCAGCTCGACCCAACAACCGACCCCTTCCTTGTTGAAGGGTTCCATTGAGGAGTTGCCGGGCTACACTGCTTGCCCAAGCCTTGGCCCCGAACCTTAGCCTTGGCAGATTGGGTCGGGGACATGTAACTAGGGACGTTATTCGACCCTTGTTGGCGGCGTTGTCGGGTTGGATACGCGTATGAATCAATCATGTCTGGATTGAGTGGGCTCATATTGACGTGAGGCGAGCTTGAAGGTGCGGCAGTGTCCATTTCAACTCTCTTCTCATACAAGTTATTTCTTGTAGTTGTAGTGGTGATGGGTGTTTTGTAAGAGGTATCTCGAGTGCTTGAGTGGCAGTCTTGGTAGGGTTGTGATGACATCCATTGCTCGAGCCAATTCCATCCCCATTGGGCCTTATCAGGCATATTGGATTCAAGCCCAAATTCAGGTCCATCAGGAATGGATTGTAGAAGTTGTTGTTGTCTCTGGTAAACAAAATCGACACTTTATCAAACACTGTCACGCAAAATAAAAAAGAATTTTTTCAGTGCGATCGTCTCAAAATCACTTACATGATAACTATAAGCATAAGCGAGAGCCCTCTCTCTTTGCACCACAGCATCATTTTCCTTGAAACTTTGATGCCTTTGATGCCTAGTCCTATTCGTATTTTGCATTTCATATTTTCTAAGAGGACTCTTGAGCTTTTGCTCTTCCTCCTCCATTAATGCTCTTCTTTCTTCTTCTTCGTCTTTCTGATCACGATCCTTCTTGTGATGCTTGTCTTTGGTTAATTCGAGTCTTCGAGCTCGTACTCTTGTTTGCACACGCACTAATGCCTGCATGCATCGCATTGTCATTTGCGCTTGCTTTCGTACGTTATACCCTCTCACCAATGCTTGCAACCTCACCAATCCCTTCAACGCACGTAGCGCGCGACGAGCCTACAAAATAATTGATTGGTCACGAATTATCTCAGTAACAAGGTGAACATACAATTAGGGTTTTGATGTCATATAGATCCTTGAAGTACAATTTTAGAACAATGTACAAAAATATAGTAAAGATTAAGGTAAAGGGTAATTACTAGGTATCCTCTATAATATGACTGAATGAAGATTGCAGCTCTTTCTTCCCTAGAGTGACGCCCGTAACCGGCCAATCGGACAACTTTAGTGGCGGCCCGTGCTGCGGCAACAGCAGCTTCAGCAGCAGCAGCAGTTGCCACAGCAACAGCAATGGCATGGCTTCTATCTTGACGATCATTATTCAGAGGAGTTGACGACTCAATGGTTCTCTCATCGTTCGTGACGTCCGGTGAGCTCTCTGCCAGAAAATGCTCAAATGACACCACTTCTGCTGCATCGTGCTGGCATTTCTCACCGATTTCCTTCTGAGATTAAATCATAGTACGTAACAAGTATCATAATTAGCACTAAAACTAGCACTTAATTAACAAATAAGTTAACTAATATTTATTGATGTGATGGGTTAGGTGGCATGACAATAATAAGTCACGTCGAGTCATGTGCCTAGCCAGGAAAGATATAAAGGTTATAGTTACAGTATTATGTATGCATATGGGGATGGTGATAGGGGACCATATAGTGTTGGGGCATGCATCTTGGTTGCGTTCCTGGTCCTAAAAATGCCAGAGCCAAAAGGGTAGCTCATGCATCTTTAATGTGAGGCAAACCATCTCACTTCACCCCCAAACAAACAAAGGTCACGATCTTGATAGTTGATATGTGTTTTCTTCTATATATCCAATCCAAATCATTAAGTTAATCATAGCTCATATTGGTTTGTAATAAGATTACTAGAAGACATTAGTGATTCATGAACACAAATTATGCATACAAATTCGAGTTATATAACGGCAAAACAATGTGCTCACCTATCTGTATCTAAGATCGAATCATCTCCAACAACAACGAAAAAACTTGAATCCCTTTTTCAATAATTTATCTTAAATCATAATATTGCTTAAATAAAAAATGGATTAATTAGGTATAATAAATTGTATCATTGCTTGCCTTGTTGGTGTGATCATGATTAGTACAAAAACTTAACAGAAAATAAATTGAAAAGAAAAAATAATTATGTGAAGAACAACTTTTTCTTACGAATTAAGAAATTATATGAAAAACTATTTGAAAACTTGCCAAGAAAAATGAAAGAATGGAATTAAGAGAAAACCTTTTTGTCAGGCGAGTCCTTAGTAGATTGTTTGAAAACTTTCTTGACGGAGGAGAACCAGCCGCTTCCTTTCTTCCCCATCTCCGGCCTGCCGGCCAAAAGATCAACTTCTTATTGCCGCCATCATATTGCTCTCATCTCACGAGAGCGCATGCACACATATATATATTTCCGAGTTCAGACATATATATATATATATATATATGTATGTATGTATGTATGTATATGTATGTATATGTTTGTTGGGAAGTAGCCTCTCTCACAAATTAAACTGAGAAAATGAGCTGATAATATCAAGACTGAAGAGATCTAGAGAGTGAAAAAGATGTCTGAGAGAGAGAGAGAGAGAGAGAGAGAGAGATGGAGGGCCGAAGGGGAAGGGAGTAGTAGTTTTGTGAGGGTGCGCAATCGCAGTTACTATTTAACGATTTCACGTGTGAATCGATCTTGTAGAAATTTGGAGCTACTTGTCCAGTACTAGTTACTACCTACATACATCATGCATACGTATATATGGTGCAGTTGGGGCTGACCCAATTTGGCGAGAAATTTTTCAATCCGGACACAAAAAAAATCAGTTCGAGGGTTAAATTAAAATATAGATAAATAGGGTGTTATTTGCATACCTTTAATGATAACTAAAAGATGAGCACACACTTTATGTGTGAACAATTTCGTTTTCTTTTTTGTTTTTGATTAAGGAGTGTGATTAGTGTAACATCCCACATCGCCCAGGGAGTGATCCTTAAATGTATATTCTCATCCCTACCTAGCACGAGGCCTTTTGGGAGCTCACTGGCTTCGGGTTCCGTCGGAACTCCGAAGTTAAGCGAGAAGGTGGCTAGAGCACTCTCATGATGGGTGACCCACTAGGAAGTTGCTTGTGAGTTCCCAAAAACAAAACTGTGAGGGCGTGGTCGGGGCCCAAAGCAGACAATATCATGCTACGGTGGTGGAGCGGGCCCGGGAAGTGATCCGCCCAGGGCCGGGATGTGACAATTGGTATCAGAACATAACCCTGGCCGTGGTGTGCCGACGAGGTCGTCAGGCCCCTTAAAGGGGGTGGATTGTAATATCCCACATCGCCCAGGGGAGTAATCTTTAAATATATATTCTCATCCCTACCTAGGTGGATTGTAACATCCCACATCGCCCAGGGGAGTAATCCTTAAATGTATATTCTCATCCCTACCTAGCAATAGGCTTTTTGGGAGCTCACTGGCTTCTGGTTCCGTCGGAACTCCGAAGTTAAGCGAGAAAGTGGTTAGAACATTCCTATGATGGGTGACCCACTGGGAAGTTGCTCGTGAGTTCCCAGAAACAAAATCGTGAGGGCGTGGTCGGGGCTCAAGCGGACAATATCGTGCTACGGTGGTGGAGCGGGCCTGGGAAGTGATCCGCCCCGGGCCGGGATGTGACCCATCAGGAAGTTGCTCGTGAGTTCCCAGAAACAAAATCGTGAGGGCATGGTCGAGACCCAAAGCGAACAATATCGTGCTACGGTGGTAGAGCCAGCCAGGGAAGTGATCCGCCCAGGGCCGGGATGTGACAATTAGTTTTTAAAATTTTTAAAAATAGTATGAGACAATGATGAAGGACATATTTTTCTTAATATTACATAATTATCATTTTGCCCTATTTATGTAAATATTTTGTATCAAAAGCAAAGGTAAAATATAAAAAATAGGGATATGATTATAATTTTGTCAAAAGGTACAAAATTACTATTTTGCCCCCCTTTTTGTCAAGAGTGTGTATTCATAAGTGAGGGCAAAATTGAAAAAAAAATGGCAAAAAGTTGACAATGAGGGTTCTCTTAATAATATAGAATAGATATGGTATGATCGTCCATAGTCAAGAATTTCTCTAATTGGATTTCTACATTTAGATAGGGTATTTGTATTTTGTAATAAAGTGGTAAAGGTTTTGATGTATATTTACAAATTATTAAACCTTTTTTTGTTCAACATACAAACTACCAAACTTGTACAAGAAACAAAAGCAAAAGACTTTCCCTACCAAGTATTAATTTAAGTAGTTGAAACTTCAAAGCCATTTCCCCCCTACAAATACAAAAAGCAGAAAATAATTTCAAATAATTAAGGTGTTTTTAGTTGCAGAAAGAGAAGGACCATTGCAATTGGTAAGCAGCGAGTCAACAGTGACCCAACAACACAAGACATCCTCTCGACATATTTGTCATGATATTTGGTTTCTTTCTCCGTGAAATATTTTCCATTTCTTTTTTGTCTTTTCGAATATGCATTGTAACAATATTTTAAGTCAATTATGAATTATATTTTAATTTTTTCATACGTGAGACATGATTAATTAATTAAAAATTACTACACAATGTCATTATGTTGTATGAAATTTTTTCTCTTTCATCTCTGCTTGCAGCTCCGGCTCCGGCTCCGATTTTCATCAACCTCCCTGTCGCTTTTGGCGTTGACCAAATTCTTTTTACAACACAACCCCCACACTTTAAAAAATTATACACTTCCGAATTGGCCAAACCCAAACATACTAATTTGGGGAAAACTCCAACTCCCTTGTCAGTAGCCAACCATATTATTGTTTTTGTTATTTTCAACGATAAATTATGATCGTGTTGGTGCCATGTTGTAAAACTTATCATTATTCACCTGTGAAACACATAGATTTAAAATATCATTCAACCACTTCCTTTTGGTTATTTAAATAAGTATGCTTTACCATTGGGTGTTACTTGTGGGGGAGGAGAAAGACCTAGTTAGAGCCAACGAGTGCTGGCTCAGTTGGTAAGGTTTTTGTATGTGTCGTCCCATCAAAGTTTGATTGTTGCTAACATCAATTGATGTTGGTGCACGATATGTAAACTTTTACGTAAATTTATACCTGCGTCAGCTGGTAGTTTGGTGCAACTTGTAAGTCCTTCCGGCTCGAGAATGTGGGTATGCCTTGACGCTGGTGAATATAGTAACCAATCTTCTCCTCCCAAACTTTTTACAAACACAAAAATACTTCATTAGATGTCATTCACAATAATAGTATCTCAAGTCCAAATGAACTACCACATAAAAAAAGTTAGACATTTGGCACTACGTGATGTTTGGATACAGCTACAATGATATTCACAAGCAAGTAATTTTTCTTGATGCATGATATACCAAGCCAATACAAACTGTCATGTAAAAAGGTTAAATATATAATGGTGTGTAATTAATTTAAAATATTGTCAAGATAATAATTTTTTATTGTACTCTCAAAATAATAGATTAGATATGTCTGTTTTGATGAATTAAGAAACATGCAGTATAACCTCCTTTAGTCATTTGCTGAGCTGTGAAGTTATATTAGACCAGAGTCCTACGCAGAACCAAACTTGAGGTAGTATTGGGTGTGGTTGAGACTTTAAAATCGAAAAATAAAAGAGTTTAATTAAGGTAGATATGACCAAATACTTGCATTTAAAGGGACATTCAAGCAAGATATAAAGAAAATGCTTCATTAGAAAGGAGAAAGAGGAGTCCCACAATCCAACCTTTTCGCCCCACTTTTGATGGATTAAATTATGATTGGTGAAAAGCACCTTTCAATAGAGTTAGTCATATTAATATAAGGAGAAATTAGGTTCACATTATTTTTTATGCTACTTCATTGATTAAAATTTTATTCATTTTCAATTTTTGATCAAGGTCCTTGGATATTAATAATATCATTAATTATTTGAATAATAAAATATTTTTATTTTTAAATATATTCCGTTAGTGTTAAAAATGTTAAAATTAGTATATTTATATTTATGGCTAATTTTTTTTATCATAGTTTTATTTTTAGTTTGTACCTATTTTTAATTTGTACCAATTTTCTTTTCATTTTTAATTTGTACCCATATATTAGTTTGTTTTTGTGCCCATATTTTTTAAAGTTTTATTTGTGTTTGTATCCATGTGTACACCGTCATGTGACATTGTATATTTAATCAATGATATAAAAATTACATATGGTATATTTATGTTTTATGCCTAAACTTTGTATCATATATTTTTTGTACCCACTTTTAATTTGCAACATTTTTTTTTAAATTTGTAGTATTTTCTTTTTAGTTTTATTTTGTACCCATTTATTAATTTCTTTTAGTGCCTATATTTTTTAAAAATTCATTTGTACTCATAATTTTTTAATCTTTTATTTGTACCCTAATTTATTTATAATGTACCCATTCTTCTTTATTAATGTACCACTTTGTTATATGTGAAATGTACCAATTTTTTTTGTAAAATGTACCATTTTTTTAACACTATGGATACATTCTTTTGCCAATTATTATATCTTATTTTTACATAGTTTTTATCCATTTATTCAATCAAAATGTTTGAATTTTTTTTTATTGTAACCATTTCTAATAGTATTATAATGAGGGATTTTAATTTTATAGGATTATAAATCTCATAAAATATCAAACAATTAATGTCAAAACTATAAAAATATAAATATTAATTGTAATATAATGAGGTGTACAAAGTCAAGAGACTTTGATCAAACTTTGAATACCATTAAGGTTTTAGTCAAAGAATGTTAAAAATTAGGGACCGCATCCAAAGTATCCCTTAATATAATCACTGAGCTTCAAATGAGAAATTTCTTAAATAAACTTATTTAACTGACATGGGGCCCATTTCATATTGTATTTCAACTAAACTGTCTAGGTTTAAAGTTTTATCCAAATCGGTAACCATGACGTATTAGTATCTCTTTTGTTGTGTGATAGGTATATATTCTCATATTAATTAGTATATCTTTCAACTCGTAATTTGGATCATGTAATAAGAGAGATATTGTTGCATATGAGAGAATCCCTCATTTGCACAGATGAACCACAAAAACTCATATATGGCTTTAGACTAGTTGGAATGGTGCTTCCAAAGTAAGACCATGCACTAATTGGTCTCTCCACGTAATTATCATTATAGTCAAGCAATAATGTACGTATCTTATCCAAGTTACCTATGCAAGTTGATGGAATGAGATGGTAGTGTTCAACTACCTAAACTAAGAGATCTCAACTACTACTAATTGTTATCATCATGCATTAATTACCTTCCTTTAATTCTAATTAAGATTTGGTAAACTGAATTTCTTGTTGAATCTTTACTTATCAAGTAGTTAATCTCTTTTATTTCATGTTTTAGTTAATAACTAAACAACAACGGATAATTACTTATTTGTGTTTGTGGCATTTGGTTATGACTCAAATATCTTGCATCGGAAGAATAACATTTTAGAGTAGTTTTAAGATGTTACGAGGACCCTTCCTTTACAAGTAGTTTAAGACGTAACTGGGGTTGACCTTTTATAGATTAACGAGAGTGTGCCCGAAATACGGAGTAACAG